AATGTTAGAATAAATGATCTGTGGAGTATTTTGAGCTGAAACTTCACAGACACATTCTGGGGACACCAGAGTCTTATATTACATATCGTAAAAAGGGGCATAATATGTCACCTTTAAAACCAAATAAACTAAAAACTTAATAAAAACATTAAAAATATAAAAAAAACTTAAAAACATCTTTTAAAACAAAAACGAATACAAACTAAACACAAACAACAAAATTAAAAAAGTATGAAAATAGAAAATATAGAAATAAAATCTAATTCAAAATATGAATAAAAAGTAAAAGAGTATATTAGTGATATGCATTACACCAGGGTTATTATTGTTAACTTAAACTAAAATTGTAAAAAATAAATAAATAAAAATAAAATAAAATAAAAATTACCAGAAAATAAATAAAATATAAAAAAGTACTTTTTCATTTTTTATTTAATAAACATGTATTATCCTTGTTTATATATTATTATGTATTATAGATATTTATCATATTTATTTATATTTATTATTATTATCATCATTATCATGATTATTATTATTAATATTGTATTAGATTTTTTATTTAATTTCAGCTAGTTGCTAAGGCAACATTTCTCATTTTCGTTGTTTTAAATTGAAGTACTAAAATAACTAAAAATAAATCAACTAAAACTAAAAAAATAAATAAAAACTACATAAAAAAGAATAATAAAATAAAAAAATTGTACTAAAATTTAAATAAAAACAGAAAATATACAAATAAAATCTAATTCAAAATATTAACAAAACCAAAAATCGTATATAAATGATACCAAAATAACACTTTTTGTATCATTACTATTTATACATCAGTTGCGAATGCATGGATTTGCAAAACATAATGAAAAACAACAAAGAATGCTGCATACATTTAACATACTCCGCTAATAAAACCCATTGATGCTGCGATCAGTTGCCAGAAAGTGATTCATCTGTATAGCTTATTCAATCCTCTTCCTTTTTATTTCACTGGTTATTTAGCATCAACCTTGGCTCCTGGCTTTGTGCGTTTGCTAGTCCACTGATTTCAGTTCAAGCAGCCCCAGTATCAGGTGTATGTGGTGCACTGTATCTTAGCTAATAAGGCAATCATGCAGTGAGCTACAGAATTGTTACATTTGCACAGCTTGCTCTGATGAAATCTCATCTCTCTTGCCAAGGTGCATTGATTGTATGTATGTTCCTCTGATGAGCTTTATGTTCTCTGGCCATAACAAATCACATAACTGTGCAATGTTAATTGAAAGTGGTGATGTTTAAAGAGCTATCGTGAAATAGGATAAGATATAAACAAAGTTTGCATCCATAAACACGTCCTTCCTGATTTGTCATGCAAGTAAACATATATTGTTTTATAAATTATGCATTTCTTCTCTACTTTTCTTTTTTGTTTTTTATTTATGTTATGCAATTTTTAGGGGAACCCCCTTCTTGACTACAAAACCCACTTAAAGTAAGAAGAAAATAGAAAAAATAGTAATCAGAGGCAGTAAAATTCATAAAAAGCGAACGGGAGAAAATCATATCACTTGTTAAAATAAAATAATTTTAAAAATAGTTTTCTGGTTGTGTTAGATGGCCACCAAAGAGACTTTGTAGAAATAAAATGAATAAAATAAATGTAATAATATTAAATAAATAAATTAATATTAATATAATAAATAAATAATATTTTTTGATTATTTAAATTAATATAATACACTGATTATTTAAATTAATATAATACAAATTACTTAATAGCTAGCTTTTAAGTTTTTTTTTTTTTTAGTTAATAAAACCTGCTTCCAGATAATAACACAGCACAGGATAATAAGACATTTTTCATGGATTGTAAGACATATTTTGCAAGACAAAATACACTTATCATATAAGATACAAATAAATTCTCTATAAATAACTCTTAATATCTTATGAAGTCAAGTAAACTCATGTTGTGTAAAGGATTTTTAACTGGAAATTTAGACAAAATATTTCATTAATTTAAAATTAGAAATTTGAAGACATAAAAAAGTCAAATATATTTTGCTGACCTTTTGCCATCATTTTGATGAAGACCAATACAGTATGTGAGAGACTAACCGAGTTACAATTCACACACACACAGGGTTAAACGTAAGAACTCAGCTATGAGAGTCTAATATAAAAGTTCCCTGCTGCTTGGAAGGCGTTTACGCTTCTTCTGCCAAAGATCTGAACCCTCCTGTTTCCTTAATTCTACATGCCCTCACACAATGTATGAAAAAAACAACGCCCTGAAAACACATCAGACGTTCCACAAATACACGGCCTATATCCAATCTGTCACCAAATACTGATTCATATCCGTACAAAACATTAAACCTTGCTTGATACAATGTAAAAATACTTGAAAACGCATATGCATATCCACTTTCTGGAGTTGTTGGGTCAAGATTTGTGTTATTACTTTAAGTGTACAGCTGGTTTGAAACATTTTATGAGCTTAGGGGACAAAGTGTTTTCTTTTACATCTGTGACTGTTCCCGATGGGGGGGAAATGGTAGGGCAGACCATAATAAAGAACAGCATGTAGCCTCGGCTCTGTTTACTGCAGGAACGATAAATACAGAGTGTAAAACAGTCAGCGTCTGTCTTATTCTGTGCCTGCTCGTCACACGTCTCGAGTCCTCCGCTGACATTCTGTCTGCTGAAGGGAAAAAAACAAAACAAAACAAACAAAAAATGGATCAAAATTGACCATATTTACTTTCTTAATGCAACAGTTCAACCCAACAAAAAAGGATTCTGTTTTCATTTACTCTCCCTCATGTTGTTGCATGCTGTTATTTTCCTGTGGAATGCAAAAGGAGGTCTTTTCCAAAGCAATGGAAGTTCAGAAAACTAAAAAAAGAACCAAAAACATCCATACTTTTGTATTCTATTATTTGAAATTTTAAATATAACAACTTGTTCTTACTCTAGAATGACGCGTTTTTGGATGATGTCAAAATCCCTCCTACTTTTTTTGACTCCTCCCCTCCAACCACCTGATTCTGTTAAGCCACGCCCATTTCCACAACCCCGTCGATTTCTAAAAAATAAAATAAACCTCCGCCCTAAATTCTGTCTCATTTACATATACTTTTGACCTGGAAATAAGTCAGATTATGAATTTCATTTCATGCTGATTTCAATGTATCATCCGTTCTCAGAAGCTGAGAGAGTAATTTGCTTAATCACTTAAGTTCTAGTTTGTTATGACATTTAATCAGTTAGCTATATAAATCTTCATATTTGTAATGGTCTGACAGCACCGTAACTGCAATACAGTGGCATTGAAGAGATTGTTTGGTTGGCATAAGCGGTGTTTAATTGCTTCTTTTTTGGTCCTTTTGGGTCTTTCCCAGGTCACGCTCTCTTCCCACATGCAGTTCTCTCTGTTTTTCCCTCCCTCCTTCTCTCTTTTCCAACCCTCTGCGAGGAATTCCTTAGTGTCTGAGATTTCTGGCCGAGAGCCATCCGTAGGCTGGCAAGCAGCTTTCTATTGCAGTCCTTCACCTCGCCTGCTTCCCTCCCGCTCTCTTGAATTCCATTCCAAAACCTAGTGAGCTCCCTACTTAGACAGCATTCAAGGCATCGTGTATGCTTTTTAATGTGAGGGCTGTTCCAAAATATAGGCAATATTATGCTGCCTTATAAGATGGCTCATTTTGAACAAATTCTCAGGCTGTATTGTATGCATCCTTTGTATATAAGGCAATCCCAGAATGCATTGCAGCAAGCTCTGTTTATACACTAAATTTACTTCATTTAATACTGAACTATTATTAGCAAAAGTATTGCTAATAATAGATTATTCAGAATGCATTAATTTACTCAGTATTCATGTATGATATGTATTATTAAAGCTCAATAGTTTATAGCATTAGCTTGCTAACACTCTCCGTCTACCTAGCTGTCCTGTATGAACACTTGGTTCGGACAGTAAGTAGTACAGTCTCAATAATAACAGACTACTTTTCCCAATATTATTTGTGTGTCCTGAAAAACAAAAACAAAAAAAAAACCTTTCATTAGCCTCAAGTGGTTTTGTTGGTCTTAGCAAGCCACCAAGCTAGTTTCCACTGGTTAAACTGGTAACTTGTTAGCTGGTCAGGCAGGAAGACCATTTAAACTATCTGAACACCAAATTGGCCAGGTTTAATGACCAGAAAATTGCTTTAGCTTGGTTAAAGTTGTTCTTGTTTTTTTGTCTTTGTAGAGTATTGCATGGTTAGCTTAGCAACATGCTAACATTTAACTGAATCAATTGAGTCTCTTGAGTACTTTGCATAAGCAGTGTTATACGGAGCTGCTTCCCATGTTCTTAATCAGATATTTATGATATGTTGCATCACTTTAGCCTGGTTATTAAAGCTTATTTTTTGTATTTCTTTTAGAGTATTGCATGGTTAGCTTAGCAACATGCTAACATTTAACTGAATCAATTGTAAATTGTGCCTCTTGAGTACTTTGCATAAGAAGCATTATTTAGAGTTGCATCCCAATCAGTTATTATATTTTCTTCACTTAAAGCTGTTTTGTTAATGTATTTTTGAGTACCACATGGTTAGCTTAGCAACATGCTAACATTAACGTGAATCAACTGTAAATCGAATCTCTTACGTACTTTGTATGAGGAGCATTAAACAGAGTTGCTTCCCATGTTCTTAAACAGTCATTTATGATATTTTGCTTCACTTTAGCCTGTTTGGTCCTTTTTATTTCTTCTAGAGTAACTACACCACATGGTTAGCTAAGCAATATCCTAACTTTAAACTATAGGAATCCTATGTAAATTGAGTCTCTTGAATGCTTTGCATGAGGAGCACTATTTAGAGTAGCTGTCTGTGTTCTTAATCATTTATTTATGCTTCACTAAGGATGCTTTCTTAGAAGGCAGCTGCCCGTGTAGGGAATAGACAGCAAGGCAGCTCACTAGGTTTAGGAACAGAGCATTTCGCTCTGTTTTGCATCTTTCTTTTCTCTTCTCCTCCTTTTTTCCCTTTCTCTCACACTTTTTTAGAAATTGGACCACTTTCGCTGCTTGGCAGCTCTCCGCACGTAGCCCCCGCTGACGCTCGCCTCAGACCCTTCCACGATTCATGTGGCTCTCTCATCACCATTTTTCCTTCCTTCATCCATTCTCGGTTTCTCCCTCCTGCTCCGTTTTGGGTAATTACATAACGTTGCGTAAGTCTCTCAAAGCATTTTTTACAGGAAGACTCTGCGGAGAGCTTGAAATGAAAAAAAAAGTAGCGCACACAACAGATTTCAGGCTCCATTAGCGGGAGCTCCTTTGAGGGAAACAGATCGATTGCAGTGTTTCGCGAAAATCAGGAGGTGGGGAGAGAAAGGGGCCATCCGTTTGTGCACCCTGTGAACTGTACGGAGAAAGAAACACTTTCAGGGAGGGAGAGAGATGATGGGAAAACAGCAGGGGTAGGAGATGAAAATCCAAGGAGGGAGATGGAGAGAGAGAGAGAGGAAAGCGAGAGAGGGGCCCTGTGGAGGCGGAGTGGAAACTGAGGTTTCCTGTCTGAGAAGGCGGCTGGCTGAAGGTGGAGGGGCGGCAGGAAAAAATCTCTCAGCTTTGGGACTGTGTGTTATGTGTGTGTGCCAGGGGAGGAGGGGTGGATGCGTACTATGGTTTGGGTGTGTGCGCGTCAGTAGAGGTGGGGTCAGTCTGCCGCAGGGAAGGTCAGGAAAGGAGAGAGAGAGAGAGAAATATGGTTAAAGCGATAAAACCTCTTAGAGATTCCTCAAGGGTTCTTCGCAACACCTTTTTGGCTGTATAAGTTCATGAATGGCTCTTTTTGTTTAATTATAGGTTCTTCATATCAGTGTTTTGGTTTCTGGGTTATTTAAAGGGGTCATCGGATGCCCATTTTCCACAAGTTGATATAATTCTTTAAGGTCTTAATGAAAAGTCTGCTACATAGTTTGGTTAAAATTTCTCAATGGTATAGTGAAAAAAACACCTTTTTTAACCTGTCAAAAACAGCTCTTTTCAGAGCAAGCCGTTTTGTAGCATTTTCCTGCTGGAAGCTGGATCACGAATGATTTGCGCGAACATAAACGCATTTAGGTAGATCGGGGGCGCATTCTCTTCAGAAACAAATGTAATCCACTGCGAGTTCAGCGGCTCAGATGTCGGGAGTAAATGACGACTGCTATGTTCATTATTACATCCAACAACAGAACACCTCAATCGCTTAGGAGTCATTCTTGTCTACATCTGCTCCGGCGGTAAAACAATGGCAGACTGATGACAGCTCACTCAGGGTGGGTCTAAGGTAAGATGCCAGTCCAGTCTGTGCTGAAACACTACTGTCAATCAAACTATAGTGGGAGGGGCCTGTCTGTGTGACGTCACAAAGACAGGCATCTGAGATCGGCTCGATTTGAGAAAGGGGTAAAGATTTTAGTAGATTAGTTTAGTAGATTGTAGCATCCGATGACCCCTTTAAAGCACCAGAACATAGACTGTTTTCAAAGATCTAGAGAATAAAAGTTCTTTGGAGAACTTTTGTTTTTTAAATACACTTCAATGCCATTGGGATGTTCAGTTGTTCTAATTGGAACCTTTGCTTTTAAGATGTAGGGTTACGTAAGTCATATTTTTCTGTATTCTTAAGTTGCTATATTGGAGATGAAAAAAGTTATCAATACATTATTTAGTATACATTTTATGTTCTTGGCATTATGCATTAGCGGAAAAGATGATGCTCAGATACAGAGGGTATTTTAAAGGATGAATGAATTTGACATTTCTTCTATAGCAACATATTCTATAACCATTTCTGGAAGATTATTATTTTTTTAAACTAATGGTGAAAAGTAAATGTACTCACCCTCCTGTCTGGCCAAACCGTTCTTCTGTAGAACACAAAAGAAGAAATTTTAAATGCTGACAGATTTTTTCCCCCCACATAACAAAAGTATATAGTGAGCTGAGCTTCTAAAAGGACAAAAAAGCTAAATAAAATCCCAAGTTGTCATTCACAGATGAACTTCAGTGTCCAAAGTGTCTCTCAAATCTGTTTTGCAATTTGGTACATTTAAAGTGGTGCAATGCATTCAGTTACGAGACACAATGCCATGGGTTGTCAAAAGCAGACGGTTTTAAATTTTTTTTAAAGATTTTGCAATATACTTAAGGAATTGTTCACCCAAAAATTGAAGTAAAAATGAAAAAAAACAAAAAAAAAAACACCACACAGCTTTGGAATAACAAGAAAATGAATAAATGATTAAATAATTGTCATTTTTGGAGGAACTATTTCCTAAAGTCTATGGCAAAATCTTGAGTATTTAAAAATAGTCTCCCTTGGCATCGAGCTCTAAGGGTCTTTTTGAGAGTATAGACATTTGCTATTAAATAATGAATTATATGTAGCCTCAGAATCTAAAAATCAGCAAAAACAAATGGCAGTTTGTTTGAGCTCTGTTAATGGCCACACTAAACCCCCAAGCCAGACCATCTAGCAGGTCCAGACACAGCCCTTCAGGTGCGGGACATCTCTGAGGAAAAAAACCCTCTTGTTTCTGGTGAAGAGTGTGTGTTTTTTTAGCAGCGGTGTAGAATTTCAGCAGGTTTCATCACCTGCAGGTGGTCTCTCATGAACACTCATGGTGAGCTCATGATTGCGGACACATAGAGATGACTAAAAAACATGACCAGCTGACCGCCTGCATTTACAACCAACATTTCAACCAGCTGGCCACATGCTCATTAAATCCAGCCAAAATGCAGAGGTACTAATGCCAATGCAGACATGGAATTAGTGTGTGGGTAGCCTTGTGAATACAGATCCAATCCAGACACTTTTCCACTAAATTACACATAGAATAATTCAGTTGCTGCATGGGAATTTAAGAGTTCTTCCTTAAATTGAAATGATCAAACAGTGCATGTCATTATTAAGTGCATGCTTATTCTGCATGTCATATTAGGGTGTTTACTGATATATGTTGTCCTGTTGTGTTGTGCTATTACCAATATGACTGTACTAAAGCATAAAAATACCACAATATGTTTGCAGATATTTAAAAAACATGCAAATTTACATTGTATCTCCGCAAGACAATGTTACAATCAGTTATTCTACTTTGAAATGTGTGTTCCGTTTTGGAATGTCTGTTTTTGTGTGTGTGATTTCACCCACTGCCAATTTACTCAATAGTATTTCGACACCCCGGGTTGCCAGTTGGTGGAAAACACCAGCCATGGAAACCAGCAAATGAACTGGGTCAGAGATCTCAGATTCTACCCGATTCCAAAAAGCCTCGGCATTCATCTAAAAAGATCTATAAACAGAGATATATTAAAACAGATAAATCAACTCAACAACTTACAGTATAAGGCTCTTCGCCTTCCATTGTCAGTTGCGATTGTTACTGTTGCATGTCCTCAATCTGGCAACCCGCGTGAGCGTCGAGTCTGAGGAAGAGGGCTCGAGAGAAACAACTCTTTCCAATATTTTGAATTTGGACTGCAGTTTCCATTTCAACCGCTAGTTGTCAATATTACATACTGCACCTTTAAGGTTAAATCAATTAATTTTGAAGTTGCACATCAGAAGAAAAACTATTTTTTTCAAGCGGGAAAAGTGCAGTTTCTTTTAGCTATGGCTAGCAGGTTAATTGTGGTGCTAAGACCAACCTTCTTTACACGTCTAATACGAACCTAATGTTTGAGAACCACATTTCAGCAAATGCCATTTTTTGGCAGCGTTTGAAATGCATTAATACCACAAACACATAAAAGACGATGCTTTCTTTATGCACAATATATCTGAGGGAGGGTGAAGCGGAGTCCTTGAACACCTGCAGGTCCGTTTTCCTTCCAACATTGGTGTGGCAGTGATGAGAGAACACATCTCAAACACGTTACTACATGTATTTGTGATGTTACAAACCTCAGTCAAGATTTTTGGATGTCGGGATATGAGTCCAATCTGGTTTGTGTGTGTTTGTAGGGGTAAAGAGCCCTCCTGCAGACGACCTCCCAGGGCCAGAGCGCTGGGAATATAGAGTTACACCCACAATTCAGTACAAAGGAACTCACACTCAAAAACACATGCGCTACACACTAACACCCAACAGCTGGCTCATAAAACACACAATCACACACCAGCCGCCATCACCCAGACTCAAGTCCTCCTGGGAAGCTCATACTCAAAGTTCAAAATTGCAATTACAGCATGATGTACGGCTTTTTTTTCTTCTCCCCAATTTTTAAAGCTTTTTAGCACCAATGCAACAAAACAAAACGCAAAGGATAAGCATTTAGTGCACAATTGGTGCATTATTTTTAATCCAGATTCTGCAGGCGCAGGGAATGATGGGAAATGTTGTTTGGTTACGTCAGCTTATCACCTCATCACTGTATCACAATGCATAACAAGCTCAATCAGTGTTATTTTAGTATTATTTATATACCGTTGAAATAGCTATTATTTTTATATTTTATTGAAATTTCAAAGTTTTAGTCATTTTTATTTGGTTTTCTTTTTATATTTCTATTTAGGTTTAATTTATATTTAAGTTTTAATTTTAGTAAACTTATTTCAGGTAGTTGCCAAGGAAACATTTTTAATTTTCATTTAAGTTTGTTTTTCAACTAATATTTCCATTTAGCTTTAATTTATATTTAAGTGTAAGTGTCAGTAATTTTGCTCTGGGCTTTTGTCATTTTCATTAGTCTTTGTCTTATTATTTCTATTTAGGCTTAATTTATATTTACATTTTAGTTTTTAGTAATTTTAGCACTTAAACTTATTTCAGTTAGTTGTCAAGGAAACATTTGTAATTTACATTTTTAACTAATAATTTCTTTTTTTTGCCTTTTTTAATAATTTATATATATATATATATATATATATATATATTTAGCTTTAGCTTATATTTAAGTTATATTTAGTATTTTTTAAGTGGTTTTGTCCTTTTTATTTTTTTTATATTTCTATTTAGGTTTAATTTATATTTAAGTTTTAGTAATTTTAGTACTTAAACGTATTTATTTCAGTTAGCTGTGAAGGCAATATATCTAATTTTAGGTTTTTAAGTTTAATTTTTTTCATCTAATATTTATATTTTATTTAAGCTTTATTTTAATTAATAAAAACATTTTTTTTTGTAGTTGTAGTTAACAGTAACTATGGAAGCTTGTTTCTGCCATGAGATATAAAAAGGTACTTTACAATTCAGACTTTTTTCCTCAGCATTTTCCTCGAGTTTACATCGCAAAATTAAGACTTTTATATAAACTCAGAATTGCAAGACATAAATGCAGAATTATGAGCTATGAACTTGCAATTGTAAGTTTATCAAAAAAAAAATTGTGAGATAAAAAGTCACAATTACCTTTTTTATTTTTTCATCCCGTGGTAGAAACAAGCTTTCATAAACAACACAAACAACACTAAGATAAACTGCAATTTCACAATGAAAGCTTCTAACACAAAACTTCCCACTGGTCATTTAGTTGTAATGGCGTTCATGTGCCCTCAACTCACAAAAACGATCATTCAACATGACCTGAAAGCAGAAATAGATCACGCTGAGCATGTTCTGAAATCTTGGGTGAATTAGGATCAGCTCAGAAGTTTGACCTCACAGGGCCGGTGAAACTCATACCCTCCCGTTGACCCTGCCTTATCCTGACCCCATTCTTTGCCCACATCGCCTCTACCCAGGAAATGGCAGATTTAGTGACTTCCGCAGGGAGGCGAGGAGGGTGAGGGGGTCTGGCCGCCGGGGTCACAGTGGAGGCACAAACATTTCATTCAGCGGCGCACCATGTGGACACCAGCGTCCCGTTCCAAACGCTCTCCTTCAGCTGCTGCGGCCCATGTTTACTCTACAGGGGAGAGGAGCGAGGGGGTGGTGGGACATAGACAATGCTGCCTTTTAATGCCCTGCCAAGCCCATGGTGGGGTGAGGATGTCTGCATGGGGCAGAGCAACACCTTCTCCCAAAACTTCACATTCGAGTGCTACCGCTTGGCTCCGTCTCAGCCCAGCACCTCCACGGTGCGAAAGAACTCCCTGCGACACAAACCGATGAGTTCCTTTAGAGGTTTTCTGAGGTGAACAAACAAATGCAGTGTTTAAATATGAGGTAGACATAACAAAACCTGCGATGTATTAAGCTTGAACGATATAGCGCAGCCCACGTAGCGTCTGAGGCTAATATTTACCTTCTCCAGTCGCCGCAAATGCACTGCAAGAGAGAAATTGAGAAGAAAGATCATGACAACTTAATAGTAGTCTTCACTAAAACTAGTGTGTTTTGCCAGTTGAAATGAGTTAATTCCTTACATAATGCGAGATGTCTTGTAATATAGCCAATAAATTCTTATCAAGGCAAATATAGACATCTGGATCGGCATCTGTAATCATTACTTTGCGGTTTATGGCTTTATATGACACTTAACGTGAAGCAAACTCTGCATCCTGATAGAGAAATCATCTTCTGAACATACATACCATTCAAAAGTTTGGGGTCATTAAAGGGATAGTTCAGCCAAAAATGAAAATTCTGTCATTAACTCACCCTCATGTCGTTCCAAACTCGTAAGACCTTCGTTCATCTTCGGAACACAAATTAAGATAATTTTGATGAAATCCGAGAGCTTTCTGACCCTCCATAGACAGCAAGGTAACTACCACGGTCAAGGCCCAGAAAGGTAGTAAGGACATCGGTAAAATAGTCCTTGTGACATCAGTGGTTTAACCGTAATTTTACGAAGCTGTGAGAATGCTTTTTGTGCGCAAAGAAAAACAAAAAAAAAGACTATTCAATAATTCTCTTCCGCGTCAGTCTCCATCGCCATTTACGAGAATATCACGACACATGCATGAATAATGATGCTGAAAATGTAGTTTTGTGTCACAGGAATAAATTACATTTTAATATATATATTCAAATAGAACGTAGTTTACATTGTAAAAGTATTTCACAATATTGAACATAAAAGACTTCTTTCAAAAACATTTAAAAAATATTACTGACAAATCTCAGTACGTACCCTATACTGCAAATTTTCACAATGAAAATCATCCTGTTCTTAATAAACAATTTAAAAATGTTAAAATAAAATATATAAACACCCGTTATGTATTTAGTCCCCCCCCCCCCCCCCCATGTTTTAAACAAGTTAAAAACTGTTTATAAGTAGGAAAATATTGCCACTAAATTTGTCTAAGGTTACTAAGGTTGCACGATAATGGCAAAAATCATAGTTATTTTAGTCAATACCGCAAACACAATTATTTAACAATTAGGTGTGGGCGATATGACATATCTGATGATATATATCAACTGTATTTTGCTGGAAATAAGGCTACTATGATATACAATTTTAATAACAGTGAAATGTCATAATTCTTGATTTCAATTTCGATACCACAGCTGAAACTAATACTAGACTTAGTTAAAAACGGTACAAATACAAACAATAAATAACAGTGGTGACAAAAGCAATAGCATAAGGTCGACAAATGACTAAATAATTAATAATTAAATATAATAATCAAAAGGTAAAAGTTTTTTTTTTATGCAGGTTGAAAGAAATTCTACTTTTCTTGTATTTGTGTCTCAAAAAACACATCTAATGAAACGTTTTTTTTCCCCTCAATGTTATATTATATTACAATGCCAAGTTCCTTCTTATTCATATAAAGGATTGCATCTGTGTAGCATTATGGATGATCTTTAACCCCAGATGGGATGTGGCTGATCCAGGTATATATGAAGCTGTATGACTGTCTTGCACTATAAATCTGTATCTTGTCAAATAACACACGACCCTGACCTGCTTCTTACCTCTGAGCCATTTATTAATCGCTACCTTTCAGCAAAAAAAACAAACAAACCCGGATCTTCTCCTCAAACCAGCTGGATCATATCGTTCCTGAACAGACTCTCGGAAATGTGAGGGGGGTCAGATGTGGACCGTTTGGGGGGGCTAATTGAAATAAGGAAGAGATGATTTATTGCAGCTGGCATTAGGCATGGACTAGTAATGGTTTACACATGGAGCCGTAACCAGTGCGAGGAGCTCTTCTGTTATGGAAACTTCTGGCTTTCCTGATGAAGCATGTGGGAGCTCAGGGCTGATGGCGGCAGCTACTGTAATTGGTATTGATCATAAGATTTCATTGTGAATCTTAACTCTATTCGATTGAGTTTGTGCACATTCATTTAGCCGCATTTGTGAGACAACAGGTTTGCACAACCACGTTTTCCCATCCTTCACTGTGGCAGTACAGAAGCATTTTATATGAGAGAAATGTTAAATTGGCCAATGTGTTTATATCAGACTGACCAAAATGACTTGAGCACACATTATAAATATGATTTCCAAACTCCCTGGAGGTCTTACCTTCTGACGGAGCTTAGGTCCAACTTTAATCAAACACACCTGAAGCAGCTAATCAAGGTCTTTGAGTTCACTGGAAAATTACAGGCAAGTGTGTTAGCAGTAAACTGCACAGCAGGAAGGCAGATAAGCAGGACCAGGGCTGAGCTCCGTCGTCTTCATCACAAGAAACCTACAGACCTTGACTAATATTACTGTAATCTTCAAAACACTCAGTAAAGGTTCTTTGCAGCACTCTATAGGGTTGCTATATGGTTCTTTTGAGAATAAAGCACAAGAACATCAATGGTTTTCTATAGAACAAGAGCTTAATGTGTACAACAGATATCAAAACTAACTATAAAATTCACTGATTTTAAAATTCTGGCTTATAGGCATAATTATTTTGATGTTATGGCCTATAACCATCAAATGGCTAATATTAAAATTCTATAACACTTTGTGTTAAAAAAAACAATCATTTTTAATAAATAAAATTAAATAAAACCAAGTTTTAAATGCAACAAGAGAATTTAGACATCACAATATTATAATTGAAAGTATGAAAGTTAAATATTCATTTTGAGATCTGCTAAAGTTTATAAATAACAGTGTTATTAAATTATTAGCGTTTTAACTACAAGTGTTAGATGATGGAAAACGTAATATAAATAGGCAGCAGGGTTATTATCGCTTTCTAAAACTATTACAAAATAAATTACTTCCAATAAAATAAACATTAACTGAATTAAAATATGGAAAATAAATAAACTAAAAACACTTAAACTTATTTGATTTGAGCTGGTTGCCAAGTTAATATTTCTTATTTTCATTTTCAAAACTAAATAAACTAAAACTATAAAAATAGTTTTATTTAATAGTGTGTGTGTGTGTGTGTGTGTGTGTGTGTATTATAAAGTAATAGAAATGACAAAAAGAAACAAAATTACTAAACATTTCAAATGCAAATAGAAAATATAAAAATAAACTAAAATTGTATTAATTTCTAAACAAATTTCAATATAAAATTAAATTAAATTAAAAAAAATTAATATTGGTTCATAAGTGATATGATAGGGTTGTGCATCCCTAAAATGGACCCTATTTACTTTTTTTAATAAACATTCCTGGTTTTATTATTCACAGTTGATCAGTGCATGTTATTCCAAAAAGAAATGAGTGTTTACTTTCATGTTAAATCAAAATGTGAAATGAGTTTTCTTTTCGACTGACGTCCCAACTGCCTCCTATTGTTCAGAATCAGAATCAGAATCAGAATGAGCTTTATTGCCAGGTATGTTTACACATACGAGGAATTTGTTTTCGTGACAGAAGCTTCCACAGTGTAACAGAATGACAGTGACAGAACAAAAAACACAGATAATAAAAAATAGAACAAGTAAATAAGGAATACAAATATATAAATTGACAGTTGTATGTGCAGGTATATTACAATAGACAGTTTCTGTATGTACAGGTACTGTATATTATGTGCAAATTTGAGGTGTAGACTGAGTATGAGTGTTAGATAAATAAGTGTATGAGTGAATAAATAGTGTGTGTTCCACAGTTATTGTTAAGTGTTCATGAGATGGATGGCCTGAGGGAAGAAACTGTTCCTGTGTCTGGTCGTTCTGGTGCTCAGAGCTCTGTAGCGTCGACCAGATGGCAACAGTTCAAAGAGGGAGTGTGCTGGATGTGAGGGGTCCAGAGTGA